GAAAAACGAGAAACTTTGATACTCAACTTTAATAGAAATAATGTTGCACGCTAAGTTGATGGTTTTTGTATCTCGTATTTAGCCGCCTTAAGTTTCGTGCTATCTTTAGTGTTGATTCAGCGATGTATTTTTAATACACCAGGAAAGAGAACGTATGGATCTCTATGAGAAGTCTCTTGTGGCCCAAACCATAGCAGCATTCTCTGCAGCGTCTACAGATAAATATGAAAAAAGACCTGTCAAGGCTGCAAAGGTCAGCGACAGTGAGAGTACATCAGATGATACTATACCTGTAGATATCCTGGAAGCTAGAACCAATAGAGATGTGGTATGTAATGTTCATGCATTTTTGCATTTTTCAATGATTTATGGGCACTTTGGCATGCTATAGTTCATCATTTTTGACAGTTATTGGCGATTTATGGTCATTTTGATGGGGTAAAGTCCACGCATGTTTGCCCTAAAAATCGACAGTATTTCTTGTTTTCTGTATTCAGTATTTCGTGTTTTCTGAAAATTGTGCCCATTGAGCAATAATATATAGTTATTGGATGTGAACCAATCTTTCATTAAGCTTTATACTCACTCACTCACTCACCCACTCTCTTTACAGTAATCAATGTAATTCCATTGTTTTATTTGTCTCTTAGCAAATCCTAAATCACTGTATTGATGACATTGAAAACCTGGTGCAACAAACTAAAAAATCAGCTGAGGCTTGGAAGAAACTACAGAAAAAGAAAGGAAAAATCAAACCTGGTAAGTAATCATATTTTAGTAAACAAGATAAATCTACTTGGAACCAATTCAAATAAAAGTAGAACAGCTTATGAGAGAGTAATAWATCAATGAATTGTTGTTTTATCAGATAATCCATTAGCAATAGAAGCAAAGCCACCACCAGAGTCTGATTTYATTGATGCTTTTCAGAAGTTTAAACATGCATTCAACTTACTGGTAAGTAAAAAACCTTTGCAAAGTAAACAAAACATTTGTCTCATAATGCCAAACTAATGAATGATAACAAAGGAAAGAATAAGTTCTGCACATCAGAGAACTAATCAGATAATAGCCRACTTTAGATATTTTGGTTMAGTGACCATGCACAAGAGAATTGTCCAGACGAAGTTCTGGGAAATAAAAGAATAAATCAAGATTGTCCATTGTTTTCCCGGAGCCTCGTGTGCGTTCTTTTGTGCATAGTCATCGAACCAAAATATCTAAAGTTGATTGACTATTGTGTTTAAATTATAAATGAATCCAGTAACAATACTTACTATATCTGTGTATAAGTATTAACGACAGTGATTACCTGTGTTTACAGGGTAGATTACGTCCCTATCTTCATCATCCCAATGCAGCAGAGCTTGTTCACTATCTRTTTGTTCCACTGTCTCTTCTTGTCAGGTGTACTAACGGGTGAGTTATACACTTAGCAATAAAATGAAGGAAGAAAACACATACTGATACATTATTGAATTGTTTGTGATTACTTTTAGTCCTGAGAAAGCAAGAGGTGTCCTGTCTCCTCTGTTATCATTACAAGCCATTGAACTACTACAGAACTGTTTGTCATCTAAAGAGATGGAGCTGTGGAGTGCATTAGGACCAAACTGGACTGAAGCCAAGTAYGTTTTACAGTATCAATAAAAATACATGTAGTCTAAGTACATCTGCTCCCTCCCCTCCCCCCTGGGTGGAAAATTTGGGAATTTTTCCCGCAGGGGGTAGTGGTGGGAATGGATGTACACAAGCTAGAATACATGTTGTTTATAGTGAGTTAAACATCCAGTATAACAACACTAATGTTACTTGATAGACAATCCAARCCATTCAAAGATGTGTTCATCCCACCTTACGCACCTGTGTTCAAAGATGGCTGGGTCCCCCCTGAATTCATTGGTGGACAGAATGTTCCAGCAAACGTCGCTGCTGCTGTTGCTGCTAACGCTGCTGCTGTAGCTCAGATGAATGACTCAAAAAAGGTTCCTGTTTGATAATTGTGCCCGTCTGTCATCAGCTGTCTGTACATCTCTCTATGTCTGCTATTTGTTAGTCATGTGTCTGTCTGTCTGTCATCAGCTGTCTTTACATCTCTCTATGTCTGCTATTTGTTAGTCATGTGTCCGTCTGTCTTCTCAGCTGTCTGTATATCTGTACATCCCTCTTTATGTCTGCTAGTTGTCAATGTATTTAGTAGCGTTATGGAATGTTATCAGTTGAGTAATGAATAAGAGGATGCAGGTTGATAATAATGAGAGTTCATTGGGGTGATTTCCCATGCAGTATAGTACACGTGTGAAGAATTAGTCATTCGAAGGTATAGTTTACGGATACTCTGAGAGCAAATTTCAAGTTTTTTATTTTTATTTTCAGAGTAAGCAGATTTATAATTGGGGTCTGCAAGCTTCTGCAGTTCTTTTACCTGTACATCTCTCTTTTTGTCTGCTATTTGTTAGTCATGTGTCCGTCTGTCTGTCATCAGCTGTCTGTTTACCTGTACATCCCTCTTTTTGTCTGCTATTTGTTGGTCATGTGTCCATCTGTCTGTCATCAGCTGTCATTCATTCTCTATGTCTACTCTCAGTGTGTCATTCATCTGTCCACCCATCTATTCTTTGTTTCTGTTTATTTTATTTCAATGTATTTTGTTTATATTTTAATCTAACAGCTGGATGATCCTACAAGTCCTACAGTATTGGCTGCTGCTGCTAAGTTCAGAAGACTGACATCTATCAAGAAAGAAACGGCTGCTTCAAGGTATGAAATCTCATGATATACATATATACAGTACATCTAGTCTGTTAAGATGCAGACAGGATATTGTTTTACCAAGAAGTTAACTATGTACTTGTGAATTTATAAACAGCCCAGCACCCAAAAATAACATCTTCAGGAGAGGTCATGTGATGTATGACTTCACTGCAAGAAACAGCAAGGAACTGACTATTAAACAAGGGGAGGAGATTTCTGTAAGTATTGACCAATKACAGGTCTTCTTATAAAYCATCACAAAGTATATTGACCAATCAGATTCCTCGTTAGAAACCATACATGGGCAGTGTCCAATCAGATACCTAAAAAACATTTTATGTTGTCCAATAATATTCTATGTTAGAAATGATCAAACATTGTCCAATCAGGAGCCTTGATACTTCTTCTAGATTATTATGAAATGTTGTCCAATTAAATTATTTGTTATAACATTGTGTTTGACCAATCATATTGACTGTTCTATGGTAGATTCTGGATGATTCTCGTCAATGGTGGTGTGTAAGGAATTCCAAAGGAGAAATTGGTTTTATTCCTAACACTATCATAGAAGTGAAAATGGGACAGGAAGCCCAACACAATAATGGTAGGATTCTATATTCTATTAGTCTCCTCTCGCAGCCGTTAGGACGTTCGTTCCCAGGTCACACCCACTAACTAAGGGGAGTGTGACCTGGTAACGAGCCTCGTAATGGCTGCAAGAGGAAACTAATATTCTAGTAGAGAAAGTAAGAATGTGAATTAAATATAAACAGATAAATAATGGAATGAGAAACTATAAGTAGTCAAATTTATGTTTCTATTATCCATTCATTTAGTCATATCACCTCTGCCAAGTCCACCAATGACTGCCCCACCACTGGTACCCACAGCAACAATAACCAACATTGAAGTAAGTGTACTAATCATCTGTCTGTCTGTCCACATATGCAACTGAATGATTATATGACTTGAAAACAAGGCTSCAAGGGCACTAGCCTGTGTACATCCATTCCCGCCCCTCCCCCCTGCGGAAAAATTCACCTTGATTTTTTTGTGAGGGTAAGGATGAATGTACACAGGCTACAAGGACACTAAAGAACCATTTTGATCTTTTTCCACAAGAAATTTTCTATTTTCACTTCCCCCTACTTGTCACCGTTACTGAACCAGTTCGCACCCAGTGGTGCATAAGGCCATTCCCCTACATGAGAACTGATTTTTTTCATTTTATTTTTTCATTTTTTTATATATATTTTTTATTTTTCAGCTAAGGGAAGTCAAGTCAACAGAAACAAGTACTGTAAGACAAGAAGAAGAGCGCAAAGTACCATTCGTAGAACTAAGACCAGTTAACAAGAAACCAGAAGAAGAACCAACACCACCCCCACCCCCACCGATGAGTCCACCACCACCCACCCCTCCCCCAGTATCAACTACACCGGAGACAACCATTGTTAAAAAGACAGTCACTAAAACAGGTATGAACRCAGGTAACCCAAGATTAAATTTCGTTTACAAATAGCCGAGAGTCTGAATCCAGCGTGCGTGATTCCTTCTTGATTTAGGCAAAAAAATTAGTACTTCTAAGAATGAAAGAAAGGCTCTCAATCTAGACAGATTTGAAGTAGTTTCTCTTGCGCATGMTCATAGGATCGCTATAGATCTATCCCATATKKAAGGGYGAMCCCTCTTCAAAGTAATCGTTTTTGTCGCTTATGTTTTAGAAAACCACGGTAACGCACTAGAGTTGGCTGTTCTAAGCGGTGGAAACCTGAAAAAAGTTGATAAAGAAGCMCTTAAGAAGAACAGAGAAGAAAATCAAGTGAAACGAAGTATGTTGAGAAATAATATTGTGTTTCGCTAAATCAAGCACAATAKYAAGCGCAAGAAAAAATGAAAAAAATCAATTTCTATGTTTACTTGCTTTGTCACTACGTTTGGTAGTTTTTACTACAAAATGAGGCATCTTGCGTTTACGTTTGTGCTTTCGTCTGCAGTTAAGTTTAACTAGATGTTATTTCCATATCGTAGTGAGCTCAGCTGATCTCCTGAATGACGAGTTAAAGCGTAGGATGACACACGGACAGTCTGCACTCACACCWGGAGTGGTGCGKAAAAAAGGTTAGTACGTACGTTTCACCATGCGTTTACGCAAAGGATGACTCTTGAGCATTCTGTACTCACACCTGAAGTGGTG